GGGAATCTACAGTTGTGTAGCCAAAGCGCATACCCCCGTGTGTACATGTGGTTTTGGTGGTAGTGAAAAACCCTCTTGCCATGGATCCTCACTGGAAAGGCTTGGCGTAGCTGTTCAACTTGTTGTCGTAGCCCGTCACTTTTGCTTTCGCATTGTCGGATCCGTTTAGCCGTCGACAATCCCACAAAAAACATAACTTCCAAGCTGGCAGATCGAGTGCTGTTTCTGACTTCGTTCTTGGTTGTTCAACTTGTTGGAAGGCAGTTTTCTCAGAATTTAGCGCGAAAATGCAATTATCACTTGTTGCAGGGCGGATTTTCCTCAAACGGAATTTTCTGGCTCTTCAAAATGGGGGGAGGGAGAAGGTTCCACCTCAAAGAAGCGAAACTGTGCCAGTAGGATGCGTCCCCCCCCTTGTTTGAAATATTACGTTGAATTTTGGTTACACGGTGAAGTCTCAGGCTCCCATGACGACTGGACAACAGGGCGCCGTGTCTTCAGCAGGTGATTTCAAGGGGACACCCTCTCCAGTCACTACTGGAGACCTGGGAAATTTCAAGGGCCTTGTGACGCCCAAATGTGCACCGCACTTACATCATCCGAATCCGAGCAGGCTCCAGATTACACAATGTCCCTAATTGTATATAGTGCCGCATCCTGAATCATCACACCCCACCAGTGGCACGGGAAAAAATGCGCTCTTTTTGCGGTACTTGACTTGAAAAGGAAACCTTGGTCAACGTTCCAGCCAAAACCTAGGAGATGAATATGTTCTATCATCGGTCCCGAGTTTGAACCCAGAACCTCGCCCGATGTTTGGTGTTTGTGTTTGTTTGCTTTTGTTAAAGCAAACACACACAAAACAAATACATAACCGTGTGAAGCAGACAATGCCTCACTGGGATACCATCGGGATTCGGATCTCCTGGCAGGTCGGCCATCTAGTTTCCACGCCTGCCGCAGCTGGTTGCGCGCAAGATGTGCTTGAACAAACCCCTGAGGCGCCTAGGGAACCAATCCTGAAATGATATGGTTGACAAGTTCACCGAAACAAAAATGGCTGAAACATGCTGAACAATAGTGGTTTAATCGTGTTTAAACCACGGATTAGCCCAACCGCAAAGTGCATTGGGGAGCTTCAAAACCACAACATGCATCCCAGGTTCCTCCAGGTTTCCTGAAGGAATTGTGCTGTGCCTTCTTTGTTTTCTGGCTTGGAGGCCGCAGATTTCTTACACATTTGAGGTCATTGTACCCCAGAAATGGGGTAAGCACTCCTAGAATTGCTAGAATGCCCAAAGGCCAAAAGGGATGCTTACATGGGCACTTCCTAAAATCAGGGAGTCATGAAATGGTGGTCTCTTTTTGAGGCTTCCATTTTCATGCCATCCCGAAACTATCTCAGCTCGTAATCCGAAAACAAAGATCGAAATTCTGGCCCCATCAGGGAGGTCCCTAGAAAAGAGGGTCCACATCCAATCATGCGCCCAGAGTTGAGGCAAGAGGGAGGCCTGCGCAGGTGCACTTGTCCAGGGCTGAAAACGTCCCCCCCCCCGCCCCCAACAACGCCAGTCAAACAAAAAGACAACCCATGTCGTGCCCCTTTCTGACCCGCGAACATGTACACATGAAGTAAGTCGCGGCTTCGAATGCCTGCCAGCCCAGGCCGGCCAGGATAGCCGCCTGTCGACGAGGATTGCTTTTGGGTGCCACCGGCCACGCGGAACCTGACGTTCCTGAAACGTAACTACTTTCCTTTTAAAAGGGACCCCCTGCTGGGTTCCATGTTAGTGGACAGAAGAGTACCACCCAAAAAACTTTGGGCGTCCTTCAGGCATTGAACAAACAATAGAAACGATCTAGTGCCAATGCCCATCCTCCACACTGCCAAGCCGAGCCAGAGAGAAAATCATGAGGTGAACGTGTTCCAAACACGCAGGGCTCAACATATCCCTGAGCTTGTCAAACATGGAGGCCCATGGTTGCCTTCAATATTTCGAGAACAAGGACAGCCAACCCCCCCCCCCCCCACGGAATGTTGGATGGCTTTGCCCGAACAAGGAAGTTCACACGCCCTGTTCCCAACAGAAAGTAACCTTTCAAAAGATGCCTCACTTCCAAGTTTGGTATGGCTGGCACAGTGCTCAGGCCTCCTTAAAGCCGGCGCACGACACGCATCTGCACCCAACACCCATTGACAGTTGGCTCTAGCAACATGGTGATAAAGGACCATATGGGGATTGCGCTCTGCTTCATGAAGCCCTTTGGCCCCAAGTGCTCAAGGCCCCTGCTCTGTGGTAAAGCCGACTGGTTCGTGGGCTTCATGTTGGTTCCAGCGACTAAAGGAAGGCAACTGCAAAAATGTTCGCAAGTTTCAACAATTGGCTTCTTCCGAAAAGGAAATAATATAAATGTCACGGTGCCGCCAAAGGCAAGGGCCATCTGTGACATAGCGCACGGCCCAACAGGGTAGATCAAAACGGGCTTGCGATTCGGGTTGGATCTCGTTCGCCTTTATCAACATCTAACATCTGCAATTGTATGATAAAACCAAAGCCTGATGCAAGAAGTGCATCCCCAAACGACCTTCATGCCGAGATTGTCTTATCCCTGAACTTGGAACTTGCCATGGCAGAAATGCAACCTGAGACCAGGGAAGCCGACGAGTCAGACCAAGCCCCGGCCAGCTTCTGGGCCATTCCTCTCTCGTATCCTCGACCGTGTGGATTTCCATGCGAACAAAATGGACAACACTTTTGTTGGCCGAAAGGCAAGCAGAAGGAACCAGCGGCCGTGCTACAGGCAGCTAGTCTTCCAGGGTTCCATTGAGGTGTTCATGTTTGCTTCTTTGATAGGGTGGACTTGGAAGCAAGGCATTGGCGGTCTAGAGCGACACATCGCCCTCTGAGACACCTAATCGCGCCTTTGTCCATCTCAGTCATCTAGTTAACCGTGAGTCAAGCGACCTCCTCTCCTTTGGAGGGCTATTGGAGAACAAGAGCTCACTTCCTGAGTGGATTAGCCAAATAAAGTCCGAACCCTCCGGTTGCCACGGCCATGGCTTTACTCAGAAAGTGAGCCTCACACCATAAGCAACTTGCCGCCTATCGATAGGCGGCGATGCGAAAATCGATCTCAAGGCAAAGCAAGCCTGCTTTGCCTAGTGCGAGCCTTCAATCCTCTGGCCAGTTTTTGCATTGGGCAAAGCACACATGCAATTTGAGGGCTAAACTAAATCATAACAAGTTTCTCCGTGATACTTTAGTTCTAAAGTCCGCAACCCCATTCTTAATAATATTTTAGCACCAAGTCAGTAAAACTGAACACATCCTTGAAACTCGCTATTTTTGCTGATCGCTCTCCTGAAACTTCCGGGCAAATGCACGTTCGCACCCCTGCAGCTTGGCACATGTTCCCTCGCCCCCAGCTTTCCCCAAGAACCCGACTTTGCCTCAACAAGGACGGGCCCTTCAAAAAAGTGGTGACTAGGTTCCCTGACTCATAGGAGCATCTGTGGGTTGCAGGTCAGTGGACGGGAGGGTAGAGAGGTCGGAAACAAAGGCAAAGGATCCACCCTTGCAGATTCCATTAAAGAAACCTAGAAAATAAACAACATAGTTGTTGAGGACTCTGGCTACCAATCACCAGCCCAGAACTGGCCTTGATAGCACGGAAGAGCCAAGGCGGTAACCAAGGGAGCCGTCCTGCAATGAGTTGTTGTTTACCAACAAGTTTGCTGCCTACTTATTCTACGGATAACTTGGATTCACTGGGCATTCTTATGAGGCACAAACCCCAGCCAAGAGGAAAACACAACCGAGATGATATGCATTGCATTGGTTCTGAGCCATGCGGGTCCGGCTGCAAAATTGCAGGCTTGCTGGTCAAGCAACCCAGCAGTGAATCATTCTCTGCTGGCGAATTCGTGCGAAAAGCGCGGTCTGGCCACAGGTTCTCAAGCTGCAACATGATGTGCCGCATGATAAACTCGAAAAGAACTGCCTGGACAAGTCTGCCCCACAGCAACTCTTTGCGACTCCTAAGTGCCTTTGAACCGCTTTGAAAAGGAATGAACCTACTCCTACCCTCACAACACGCAGCAATGTTGAATAAGATTGAACAAACTTCAACCAATTCGGCTTACATTGTTGTCGTCGCAACATATGGTTGACGCAATCAAGCACGAGGGCGACACCAATCACCAGGCATGGTGCAGATCACAAACCCCTGCGCACCATGATAAATATCCAGTATTGATGTCCACCAACCACGGAGGGGTTTCCCTATGAGCATTTGTCGCCATGAGCCCAATAGCATTCAAGTCAAAAACAAAAAAACACCCTGCCCTTTGGCGGGGGTACCCGAGCACAAATGGCAAGGGGTCAGGCTGATGGAAGTTAAATGCAGAGCTGGTTTGATGTTTGGCGCACACAGAAAAGCTCCTCACTTCTTCGGTGGGTTGGCCAACAACAAGTCCAAACCGTTCAGTTTACCACTGAACTGGAAACTCCCAAAAACGTTTTTCAAGTCTGGGAACTCGGGGAGTGAGACTTGCCTCGCCGATTTGCCTTTTGCCAGTGCCGCTTTCCCCACTTTGCCGCTCGAAAAGCCAGCGCCTGCGACGGCTGGGACGTTTTTCCGTTTTTCCGCCGCAGGGCCGGGAGCGACCGCTCGGGACGGGAGGGGCGGCCGCTCGCTCCGCGAAGAAGCCGCCGGTGAAACGGGAAAAGAAGGGGAACCGCCAGAGGCAGAGTCTCAATCTGGAAAAAGAGGAAGCCATTTGCTGCGATGGCTTGGTTTCCTGAACTGGAAACTACTTGGGAAGGGGAAAAGGGTGCGGAGGGCGTGGGCATCTAAAAGGACAATGTGGAAAGGTTGCCTTATTCCATCTTGATTTGCTCTTGGATCGATCTCAAGCTTGATCTAGGTCTATTGCCCTCATTGGCCAACACTCCGCAAAGATCGCACGATTTGCTTCAAAACGGATACCAGGTGAAAAACATCCCACTTTACCCCCAAGGCTCTCACGCCGTAAATGGAACGCACTGGAGCCGATGATATGCTGATTGAGTCTAGCCTGTCACTCGAACCCCAAGCCCGCTCAGTTCGAAAGCGTTGTTCAAACCACCACGGGGATCGCCTGACGCGCGATCCAAAGGAGCCTTGAAGCTGCCCATGCCACCCTTCACCAGCACATCCCAGGCATCCGCGCGTTTGGGTGAACAATCATTCAATGAGCAATGAGGAATCCCCGATGGAGAAGCGCCTTCCTGGGTGTCGTCACAACCCTCAAGTGCTGTCGCTGTACTGCTGTCCAAATTCATGTGCACGTATCTGTCCAACTCCGATTGTCTATCTCACTTTCTGGGGTGCCAAACATCGAAACTTATGCATCACCCAGGAGAAGCGACTCTCCAACTCTTGGCACGTGAGCAAACTTTGAACCGAACAACTTAAACACACTAAATCATGTAGTTGTGTTGTGTGTGTTTACCTTTTTCAGGGAAACAAAACAGTGAACATCTCACTTCCTAAGTGGAACAAGCCTGAAGTCGAGGAACTCAGGGAGTGAACTATTACACATGGGCCACTCAGCATCCATGCTGGCTCCTTACTTGGTGCTAGGAAGGTCTGGACAAAACATATCCATCCATTTCAGTTTGCCCTGGTCATTAAACAGTATGTGAAATGCAGGTCGGGTAGCGCGATTCGGGATACGTTGGCAGCTCAGTTTCCCAAAGGACCCAAAAATAAAAGAACTGGTTGACCTCTTTGAGTGCCCTCCGCTACATACGAACGGTCCCGGGAACTGCCGGGTTGGTACCTGAAATGTCCCCTGCAAACAGGGAAGACTTGTTGCTGGTTGAAGGGGCAAACAAGCCAAAATCAAAAAGTCGAAAAAAGGAAGCCAAGCTAAGCCTGGCAATGTTAGTTCAAAAGGGTCATGAGACATAATTACACAACACTCTGTGCGACATGACCTGCAGATTCCCCTACCGTGGGAGCCCTCATTCATGTGGCTTCCATGTTGGTTTCCCTTCAAACCTCCCCCTACAAAGGGTGCCCTCAAACAACCTTCGAACCCGTATCTTCTCTGAGCGGCTGGGAGCATCCGATGCTCCACCTCAGCGTGTGCGGAAAGCTGCAGAACTGCAGAAAAAGACCAAAACACAACAACAGTTGAAACGGCAAGGAACACGACGGCATGCCAATCACTGTAAAACGTCATTTGGAGTTTGGAAAACGTGGAGAAGCTACTGCAACCAGTCTGGTTCATGGTGGTTCCAACACCAGAAAGGGCACCGGACCCCAGAAGGGAGCCGCCGAGTGAGTCTGCCAACTCAGGGGAGGGAACATGAGATGCCTGAGTGCTCTGATTTCCAAGCGCCTGTTCATTGTCCTTGTGGCGCCTTGGCCTCTAGTCTCCAGCATCCATAGGCCCAAATGTGGGGAGCATAGCATCCCTTGACAAGCTGCTGACTCCGCCTCCCGCACTGCCGCTGCTTCAGCCATGACGGCTTCAAGAGGATACTTGCCACTGGCCGCCTGGGCAAGGGGTTTTGCCCTGGATGCCTGGACTTGTTTGTCAGGGCCCGCGCCTGCATTCTGGGCAAGGAGTTCTCAACTGTTTGCTAGAAACGCTTTATTCCCTAAGTTGAAGTCTATTGGGTTCATTCACCAAGTGCCAGCCAAGCAATTGGTCTCAAACTTTCGGAGGCGAATGGGAGCTTGGCATGTTCGCCCATCGGCCAAGTGGGGCCTTTTGGTCTGCCAAAATCCCGATTTCAGGGAGGGTGATGTTTCAGTCTTGCAATGGGGTTCAAGTATTCCCCCCAAGCAAAGGGTGGCGGGGTCAAGCTCTGGTGAACTTTGGGCTGATTTTGCCACCATCTGTTTGCATTTGTCTTTTTAGGCTTTTTGCACTTGGGTATGTGCTCCTTTAAGACCCTTTTCCATCTTGGCTTGAAGGAACCAAAAGGACAACCACCACTTTTTGGCGTCCCCCAATTTCGACACACAACCACTTCAAAAAATGGCAGTTGCCCATGGCGCCGCAGGCCCGGGGTCTTGTTTGGCTTCAAGTCCTTTGGCCCGGCCTCTCCAGACAGCATCACGGCATCTGTGCCATCCCAGACAGCATTGCCTGAGCACGAGGGATGCAAATTGAGACCTTCCCGCGCCAGCACCCTTTGAAAACTACACACACAACCCAACCGGCTTAACCACGTCCAGGGCGTAGTTATTCTTTCTTGTTGTCTGAACTTCCTCGGTTCGGACAACTCCCGTTCACCCATGTAACATGGTGTAACGAAATGCTCAGGCAAACAATGGACTGGGATGCTAAATCAGACCCAAGTCGCCTTCACCAGTTCCTGCGATTTTGACAGGCTGTGGAGCAAAGACATACACAAACCGTCTAACAAACCGCTTTTGCTTGCCGGTTCTCAGCGAATAAGACATGGAATGAGCCCGAACAAAAACCATCCTATGATTTTCTTTCAGAGAACCCCAGGTTCATCCCAACACACTGGGTCATTCCCTAAAGAGCACCAGCAAGTTTGGGTGCCCAAACAAAGGGGGGAAATTCGAACTCCTGGGCGGTTGAGCGCCATTTTGGAGTCCCCATTATTTAGAAAGTGATTTCAGGATCAAAGTGCCTGATTTCGCGAACACTGCCCCAAACAAGGGAACCCCTAGGTCTATTCTTCCCTTCTTCTCAACAAACGGCGCCAATGCTTCAAAGCTGTGTTAGGGCACCCACCCCGTTTTGGGGGTAGTTTTAAAGGGATTGCAAATGGCTGGAATCCACACCATGTTGAATGGGATTGCCTTTCTGTGTCAGGAGCTTTCCTCTGGTGTCCCACCCCGAGAAGGGTACCCTCCAAATCAGACACGCCATAGCCAGTTCGAATAACTTGCGCGTCCCAAGTGGCAGAGATCTGACACTTCAGCGCGGGTGGGGACCGGCGCCTCGATCATGCTTTCCACCTCACACCCGCCGCTGCCGGTCCCCACACCCAATGGCCCAAAATGCATCCTTGGAACTGCGAGGAACCGGCGGCCGCACCACGCAGCAAAAGGTGTGCATTGGTGCTTTGGGGTTTTGTGGCTTAGAAATCTAAAGGGCCTCCCTATACTTTCCCGCTGGACACAACCCCAAAGGAAACTCACAAGGTCCATGCTATTGGGAGGAAGGGTGTTCACACTCATGCATGTATGGTCGAAACTGAGCCTTTCTGGTTCAAATCTCGGGACTTGTAGTCTTAAAAGTCAAGACATTTATTTCAAGATTCAAAGGCTTGAACGTCTGGCTCTGGACAAGTCAGGTGCTTCAACTCCAGACTTCGTCTATGACCTACCCGAAAGCTGAGGCAGCTGCCATCTGGGTGGCGGTGATGACGAAGAGCCCCGCATCCTTGGCCTTTCCGGGAGGTGGGTTTCGGGGTGGTGAGAGAGTTGCCAGCGACCCCGAAACCCAAACATGTGGACAGAAGTCGTATGTCAGTCGCCTGAAATCAGAGGCCTCCAGGGCCTTGGAGGCTTTCGAGTGGCTCACATATCATGCCAAGCTTGGGGCCCAAGCCATCCCAACATTGTCATTCCAAACTCTGAGGTTTTCTCGGCGTGTCTGAAAGGAAGGGAAACCACCCAGCCTGAGGATTCCGTTGCTGGTTCCCCTGCTTCGGAACAAAGGCTCACTTCCGAGAGCCCTTTGGAATGCCAAACATACTTTATCATTTCACATTTGGACAGCTTCCCTTTCAACCCCCTACACAAACAAATGGGTGCTCCAAATTAAACAGGAGGGGTTGCGCAGGTTCCATGTTTCGACTTACCAAACTTCCATTTTGGTACCGTTTTTTTTGAGCCACAGACAAAACCCCCCCCCCTTCCCATTGATGGGACCGCTCCGACGGGTCCGTCGGAGCCTTGCGGATCAGCAACTTCTGGGCGAAAGGCACGCGGTTCAGGCCCAGCTCCACGCCTCACTCCCATGGCGGAACAAGAAACACATTGACTACCTGAAGAGTGCTGGCCAAACCCCACCTGTTTGTTTGTGTGGTTGTGTATATTTTGCGTTTGTTTGTTTGCTTTTGCTTTTGCTTTTGCTTTTGCTTTTGCTTTTGCTTTTGCTTTTGCTTTTGTTTGTTTTGTTTGTTTGATTTTTGCTTTTGTGCTTGTTTGCTGGT